TGTGCATCTTTCAACGAACGCTACGCAATAGGGAAAATTTGACGTCAAGTCCGCGTAAACGAAACAAAAGTAATACCGGCGTAATACTTGTGGCCGCCACTTGCTGCACCCTCCGGGCGGTGTCCCCCAGGTGTTTTAATCGGTGTGAGTCCGGCATAACCTCTGGACCCCCCCCCCACGGGGTTCGGGGGTACCCATAAGGGGTTTCACCTGGGTCAACAAAAAAAGAAAAAAAAAAGTCCGCGTGAACGTGGCGTTTTTCTTGATTCCTCACGCGAGACTCGCGACTCATTTTAACGCGTTCGCTCCACCGCGATTTCCGCGAAAGCTTCGGCATCATGTGCGCGATATTTGTTCATTCCATGCGAGCAAATTAAACCTGTTTCACACAATTATATAAAAAGGCAGACAGGAAAAGGGTAAAACATATGGTGGTCTGCGCGACGAGTATGGCTTCTTGTTGTATAGGTATAATTTGGACTTGGAGACCTGTATGTATAATAACCTCTACATCTTTTTTATCTAGATGTATGTTTATAATCTTTAGAAAACACATAATTTGAAAGGCGCCAGCAACATAGATATCGCATATCAAATTAGTGTTACGTATATGTTACTGGTTAAAATATACAATTTATAATTACTCTCACTGCGTAACTATTACTAGATTTCAAACAAATACCTTTCAAAAAGAAACGTCGCACTTTCGTAAAGACTGTCTATCTGTTCAGATAAAATAACATGTAGCATATTCTATTGTAAAAAAAATCACGTTACTTGACAGATAAAATTAACATGCAACCGATATTTACTTTCCTCGCTCTTATTCGCATGAGCTACCAAAACTGTTCTGTTCTCTCTGTACTACAAACAGAGTGTACACCGACTAGATATTTTTTAAGGCTGATTTACATTCAAGGCTTGATACATAGCTAAATTAATAATAATACAAAATAATTATATCTCAACACTTCTCTCGCTGAAAACGAAAGACGGTGGTGGAGCGGTCGCGTTGAGATCAATCGGAGAAGGAGAACCCAGCAGTGCACAGCACGCGGCACTTTGCTTTCGGTTCGAGAGGACGCGCGGCTGGAAATGTTGACGAGCGAGCGGCACGGCACATCGCAATGTGTCAAGCGCGTTTATCTACGACAGCGAGATATTTCCTTCGTCCGCCATCGAGTTGCCATCGGCTTTCTTCTAACGCCGCGCGGTGAGCCGGTCCGGTCCGAAAACGTAACGCGAAGGACGACAGTCATCTCCGTGAAATTTCCTCGTTGACACAAGCGATAAGGTTGGATCCCCGCGAGGAGGAAGGGTGCAAACGCAGTCGGCGCGTCTGCAGCTCCTGAGCATCTGGCAACTCTCCAGTACACACGGACAGAGATAATCTTAATGAACTTGGGCTTATCGTCTCCCGATGCGACACCGCCGAAATCCCAACGACGTGACGTGTTTCTCCAAGTCTCAGTACAATGCCGCCTTTCAGCGTCACCGAGCTGTGAAACGTCACGCGGCGCGATCGTGCGCATGGAAGACCGGTGCTTGTCGTTGAGATATCGTTCTTTCCGTAATCGCTAATTACGGAGCAGGTACAAGTGCGATCGAGCGTTATGGCGACGGGAATCTTGTGAGTCACTTCCCTTTTGTATTCTTGCTACACGCCTATGTTCATTTCTATATTCTTACTGTATCGTCATTTTTTTTTTATTTTTATCATCGTTTGTTTGTATCGTTTCCTCACATTTTCTCTGTATTGTCTAAATATATAGGGTGCTAAATTCCAAACGTAACAGGTAAAAAATTTCGAAAACTCTGAAAGATATTGATGAAAAAAGCTAAAGCACGTGTTCCTTGATTTCGAAGGGGAAAGAAAATTTTGTTAATTTAATAATTTTGAAATTTCCAAAGGTCGATAAGTTAACAAAAGTTAGCGCACTATTATAGTAATATATTCTTGATAGTAAATAAAGTGAAAAAGTCTAATACTATTTTTTCTTTCGACGAATAGTTAGCGAGATATCGTAAGTTAAATATTGAGAAAGTTGCCAAGTTTTCCTCAAATATTTCAAAAAAATATTAGGCAGATAAAAAAGTTTCTCAGACAAAAGTTGTTAAAATTAATTGGTAGAAAAAGACGATATATAATAAAAAGAATTGGACTTTCCATTTAAGAAAAATTAAGTTGACCTGCAACTGACCTTGAAAATGCCCTCCAAATAAAAGAACTGATAATGCCATTCTCTTTCGCCTTCGAAATCACGTGGAACACGTGATTTAGCTTTTCTTAATATCTTTCATAGTTTTCGAAATTTTTTACCTGTTACGTTTGAAATTTAGCACCCTGTATATCTGTCGTTTATTTCGAGTCGAAGTACGCGATTCTCAAACTAACGATCGCTTCTACGACGGAAAACTTGTCGAAACTCGCGACAAGCCGCGTCACGTTTCTTCGCATCCTCCGATTGCGATCTTGTGCGGATCTTCACTACGAGCGGAACACTGTAGAGAATCGCGCGAGAGACCAAAACCGCGCGGCAGTTTGCAACAACACGCGCGCGCGCGCGCGCGCGATATTTTCCGGAAGGAAAGAACACGTGGCGGACGTAACGCGATCGTGCCAGGACGGTAATTCCGCTTCATTATCGACGGATATGTGGCAATGGCATGAATGATTGAACGCGTCGCGTTGCTTGCTTTCACTGAACGCGATGGCTCGTGTTACCGTGGACACCGTTGCAAACTCGGCGCATTTGCTATATTTTGCAAACAAATTCGACGCGTGCGTGCACTATGAAGGCTCGCTTGTGAAATTGGTAATCCGACGCCGGCCGCCACGCAGGCTATTAATTATCGTAACGGCTCGACTTAAACGGCAACGTTCAATCTCGTATTCGTACCTTCAATCGCGACGATACATCTCGCTCGACGAATAAATACGCGAATCCAAGTTGCTCGAAACAACAGTAAGAAATTATCCGAGAGAAAGGGAATGATTTTCGGCTCGTCTCTCTTCCGCTTCTTCAAGGTCTTGCGCGCAAAATGGAGCAGCGATTTTCCCCAGGCTTCCCGAGGCTTCCCTCAAAAGCGCAAGGCTCGATGAATCCCTCCGAGCGATTTCCCTGAGAGAAACTCGCACAAGGGCCGGCGGAATCGGGGCTGGAAATATCACGCGAGCCGGAATTATTGTCGCGTGTGTAATCGCTCTCGTCTCTTCGTTGCTCTGTCGCTTGAACGCGCGGTGCGCGCGCGTGCAGCTACAACGCAGCGAACCATTTGGAGCGACCTTCCTATCCAAAGTAGTCTCTCTCCGGAGGGTTCGAAACTGGTGAGGGTAGCCTGTGTCGGAATGGCAGCGGAGAGCACCGAGTCAGTTGGTGTAGAGACTCCACCAAGTGCACTCGCTTGTGTGGGTCTGATGTCAGCCCCGCGTGTCCGAGATACATTTGATCCATATTTCCGTACTCCGCCATGGAAATGCAGTGAAATGTAAAACGTCGCAGCCGAAACGTCAGTTGCCGAGGCGAGCCGAGCCGAGTCGTGATAATCAAGGATTTCCGTTCGAGAACGCGACCGTACACCGTTTGTGCGTCGCTGCACACTCGGCGTTGTCCCGCGATTTTCGCCTCCACTCATTGTTATCCCCGGGGCAATAATTGTTCAATATCTTGCTTGTTTTACGAGTGCTCTTATTCCTTTTCCTACGCGCTGCTGCGGCACTGCCTGCGATTCTCTCCTTGCGGACCGTGATCGTTTCCTTCCTTCGCGCCGAGCTATGATTTCCCCCGCTGCTACGATGTCGTACGATTATCCTCATCCGGTTTCAAGAACGTACCAATACAAGAAGGTATTGCGATCGGGTCAATAGTGGAGGACTCACACTCAAACGCGGGTGATGGTGCGCAATGTCTAAGGATTTGAGGATCATGTAACTAGTATCCTTTCGCGGTGTCGCGACACGAGTCGAAATTTCTTTTTCGCATTCATTATTCATGAGTCGCTATCCTTCCGGCTTTCTTCGTCAAAAGCGACCCTCGATTTCCCTGGTTAACTGGCCGAAATATATCTCAATCGTTTCTTATTACCAACATCTTTCTCGCTTCTAATTTTATTGCGAAATTTCGCCACGAGAGGCAATATTTTATGTTTTTTTATTATTATTATTATTTTATCACTACTTTACCGACAAATTTTACATTATTATACAGATTTTTACATTATACGTTACCTCGTGGATGTTTACACACAATTTATATTTATTTACATGTTATTCATGCAAATTCGCAGTTTGTTCATTTAGTTGGTTAATTTTCCTTGCACCGCAATCGATATACAAATAACTTGATTATAGATAACTATAGATTCTTTTCTTCTGTCACAGTCACTTCGTGAATTAAAAATTGATAATTGCAAATTATTATATGTATTATATATACAGTCTGTAAAGTAAGAGCGTGTACGGGTTAAGGTGTAGAAAAATTTATTTTTAATGATTTTTAAGTACATGGATTTGTTGTATTCCATGGGAAGAAAAACGCTATGCCATTAATAATGAGTCCAGTCACCACCGGCATTGATAATTGCCTGGCATCTCCGAGGCTACTTTCCACCACAGTCTGTAAAGTAAGAGCGTGTACGGGTTAAGGTGTAGAAAAATTTATTTTTAATGATTTTTAAGTACATGGATTTGTTGTACTCCATGAGAAGAAAAACGCTATGCCATTAATAATGAGTCCAGTCACAACCGGCATTGATAATTGTCTGGCATACTCCGAGGCGTACTTTCCACTAAGTTGACTGCGTATTCGTTCGGTAAAGACCTTCAAATGAGACGAATTTGTCGTGTCAGCTGCTTCAAAGTGCACACTCTTTTTCCTCGAAGCTTGTGCTTGAGATATGTCTCACAATACGGCTAAAAAAAAAAACTAGGACGATATTTGAAGCCAACTGCCATTTATGCCGTACACGCTCTTACTTTACAGACGCGCGCGCGCGCGCGCGTATGTGTGTGTGTGTGTCTCGAGGTGCGATTGCTTGAAATAATTAATATTTAATTATGCACACGAGCGATTTACGAAAAGCCGAATAACGAGTTTGCACAGCTGCACATTGCAAACAGAGACAAAGTTCTCACGGGAGTTGAAATTTGCATTACCAAGTCGAGTTGCCATTTATCGTCTCGAGTGCAACCTCGACTGAAGCCTGAAATGATCGGATCGAAACTTCCCCTCGAAATGTATCTCGAATGTACTCGCGAATATGTCCTCGCGCGCGCAGCTGGACTTTGGCATTGACTCAAATCACGTTGAAAAATTTTCCTCGGCACCGGCGGGGAATCGCGCCAGCAATCGGCAAAGTCCCTGAATCAATCTTTTGCTCTTAGCTTCCGCTGCTTCGCCGGTGTTTCATGTCCCGTTGTCTACGAGCACCTGGCGAGCCAGCACAACATAAATTCGCATTCGTACGTTCTCGCGGCTTAACCGCCGCGGAAAAATCGTAATCGATGGAGCGTACGCGTGATGCAGGCGCTAATTGACGCTAAATCATCGACCGGCTTATCTCGACACCGCGTTGAAACAAAATAAGACTCGATTCACGGCATGACGCGACGCGGCGCGGCGCGGCGCGGCGCGGCGCGGCACGGCATCGTCCATTTACGGGTCGGAGATTTCCTTCGCGAATTAATACGAGATGAAACGATGGAAGAAAAAAAGAAAAAAACAAAGACCGCAAAGACACGCTCGATTATTACTTTCCGCTCGCTCTGTCGCGTCGATTATACGCGTCGGTCGATGTTCGATTCTCGGCCCGACCGTATCGTAAATTAGTAATTTACGTAGTGATTGGCCATAAAAAATGATGGCACTGGGCGATGGCACAGGATCGAGGTGCGAAAGTTTCGCCGCAGCTGTCGCGATATATTGATTAATAAAATATAACGCATGTTCAATGGCAGATAACGAAGCCGCTTTTGGAGAGGAAGAGACGCGCGCGAATAAACCGTTGTCTCGATGAGCTCAAGAATATCATGGTGGACGCCTTGGAGGTGAGATATATTCATCCTTCTTTCCCACACATTCATTGCAGCATGTGGTACACACGCCGTACGTGTACAAAATATGCACACGCGACAATTGCGGTTGCTGAAAATATTTCGGCTATTCAACACCGCCGCTCGCTAGCATCGCGGCGATCGTAATTATCGGAGATTAATAACATTAACGAAGCGCTGAGAGCAAGATAGCACGCGCCAAGGCAAGGCGCCTTAAGTGAAAGCGCGAGCGTGCACGCAGGATAACGGCTCTTTTTGCAAGCGGAGTTAACTGCACGTTGACTGCCACGTTGAGGCCATGACTGATCGGCGCTACAATGTCTCGAGGCATTTCGCTAATTTACGTGTAAAACGTAAGCCCGATTGTACGTAACGAATTTAATTACATGGCCAATGGGGCTATCGATGAAACGGGCCAGCGAATGTATCGTGGATCGCATACTATCTTCGTGTATCTTCCTTCGGTAAACGCCAAATTTGCCCGAGCAGTGGAAAGAGCAGAGCGTGGCTAGTCAACGTTTTCGCGCGAAGCCGAATTTCGATCGCTCTCTTCGGAAGCGATCGATAATGTCTAGCGAGTTAGTCTAGCGTGTCATAAGGCTTACGTCACTAAGCTCCCGTTTGCGTCATTGGGAAATGACTTGAAAAACAGGCTCGTGTCACTGAATTCCTTTTCCCTTGGGGAACTTTTTCCGGATCTTTCTTTTTCCCTTTTGTAGAATTTCTTCCAACGTCAAGCAACGTAAAAGCAAAAAACGCGATTGAAACGTGCAATTTTTTCGTGCGCATATCATTCAGCGAGGAAACGCGAACACGCGAAAAATCCGTTTGTCGTGGCGAAACGGGCGAAACGAGCGGACGTATATCCATTTCTTCTACAAATGGAGATTAATCGCTTCCGAAGAGCTTCTGACAAAAAAAAACTCGTCGGTCGAACGCTGAACGGCCGCTGAAAGACCGCCGCCGACGCGTCACGTTCCCGCGACTGTTTCCCGACACTGTCGGCAACGACAGTGCCTCGGGTCTGCCGCGGTAGCCTGGTTCAGCGAGCACGTGCTACACACTTTTTCCCCGCGTGTCGAGCGAACCTTCGGAGGAAAGCCGTGCGGTTTCTTGCTCGATTCCGCCGACTCTATTTATAATACCGCGCCGTCCGTCCGTCCGTCCGTCCGTCCGTCCGTCCGTCCGTCCGTCCACCGGGCCGGCCGCAATTTTACGGATCGCGCCTAGCAGGAAACGCATTCTCGGGCAGCAGCTACGCGTGCAGGCGATTTTGCTTTTAAATGTTCGCGGAGCGTGGGAACCCAGCGGCGTGCAACGGGCGAGTGTCAACGGAACGGCGCGCGTACACACCGATTCGCTCGCGGTGTGTAGTCATGCGCGTAACGCCTTGCGTGGCGCGACACGCAGGGTGATATTCAAATATCCTCGATATCGTCGTCTATAATCTCTCTCTCTCTCTCTCTCTCTCTCTCTCTCTCTCTGGAGTCTCTCGCAATAAACGCAATTTATCGCGTCGCAGCGGCGGCGGCGGCGGCGGCGGCGCGCGCGCACACTCCGTGCGTCGCTAAATACCGTCGCGATAACGGATAGATAAATCCGGCCGCAGGGAGGAGGGGGGGGGAGAAAAAGTGAATATATTAAGCTATTTGCCGCGAAGAAGTATACGCGAGATAAGAGGGTTAGGCGGGCGGGGCGGGATCCGCAATTTGTATCTTAACCGTGCGCTGAAATATAACTCCGCGCGACAGAATGATGACTTGTGCGGCCCTCGAGCGGAAATTACGCATTTAGCGAAAGCGTCGACTGTGTGCGCACGAGGTGAGAAAATACGTGCTTTTCAACAAGTCCAATATTAGCCTTCGCGATCGAGCGAGCCGGCGCGGCGCGGCGCATAAAAAAGAGAGGAAAAACGTTATTGCCGCGCCGCGCCGTTTCCCGCGCGTTAAAGCGAGTCCTGAGCGGAGGAATCCTATGGCGCGCGGCGGCGGCGGCGGCGGCTCGCCACCGTCGGTGTTAATTTGTCGATACGGTAGTCCCGGCGCGCGTCACCGTGCACACGTAATTCGCTGAATCAACGTGAAAGGCACCGAGTTCATTTCGCCGAGTTAATTTCCTCGTCGCGACGGCGCGGTTATTATTCGCGGGGCCACCGCGCGAGCGCCTAACGATCGCCGGACGACGATTTTGCCGGTTCCGTTTCCCGAGTCACTCTTATCTACGACGACGAATTATCGGGTTCCGTTCGCAGACCGAGAGAGAGAACATCAGCAAGCTGGAGAAGGCGGACATCCTCGAGCTGACGGTCCGTCATCTGCAGAGGCTGCAGGCTGCGCGACCTTCCGGATTAGCGACGGCCGGCGACGACGGGATCTCCGCCGAAAATCGCTGGCAGCGCGGATTTGGCCATTGCGCGGCTGAAGCCTGCAGATTCCTCTCGTCGCTGTCGGGCGAAGCCGCGGGGAGGCTGGCGAGGCACCTCGCGTCGGGGCTCCAAACGAGCCGGCAGTCCAGTTCACCACCGGTAATTCACGGCCCGATCTGTAATTGTCGGATGACATACCGCGATGGGGAGGGGGGAAGGGATGTCGTTCGCGATCTTTGTTGCGACTCTGAGGAAGGATCAAGCGCAGACAGAATTTGGAGGTAATTGATTACTCGATGACTTCTGAGACAACGAGCCTCGATACAGAGAGGGACGGCAGTAATAAATACGCATAACGTATAATTGTGTGTAGCGTTAAAGAGAAACGAGTAGCGTGTATAACGGTGTATTTGGGTCTTTCAAAAAGTTTCCGTGCTCTTAGTCGGATTAAACTTCTAAAGCTAGACTTTATTGAGTTCATCGGGGAAGGGGGAGGGGGGGACAAGTTGCCTAAGTCAACCAAGTAGTTAGTCGGCGTCACTGTGTACGATATCTCATCAGTATTCTGGCAGCATTCGTATGCCTATGTCGTAGACAACAGTCAATTTACCGTGAAAATAACGGTCAGTCGAAGCGAAATTCTCGACTGAGAGAGAGAGAGAGAGAGAGAGAGAGAGAGAGAGAGAGAGGGAGGGGGGGGGGGAGGCAGGATTTATTTCGGGATTTCGAAACTCCAGAAATTCCACGCGAGTCGCATAGATTTATAATCGCGGGCCATTACGATCGTCGTTAATAATCGTAGAAAATTTCTTTTTCTAGCCGAAAATCAACCTTTTATCGCCTGGCCTAACGAATCGCATCGTTAGTAACGAGTCATCATCTTGCACCGTCGACGTCTCCGGCGAAGTTGACTCGGAGATAAATCGCGCTAATGTATCGCCGATTACGTCCACATCTCGCGCCGACAATAAACATGGCGACGAGGGCCATGGCACCGAGCCGTCGACGACAGTCGTCTTCGCGACTCAGTGTAGAGCCTCGATGTCACCTGTTAACGACAAGGAGAAATTAACAGCAAGTTGCAGCGCGAAACTGACGAAGGACCAGAGGGAAACGGCAATCGCGACAGCGACAACAACGAAGAGCAAATCGTGCAACAGTTCGCAGGACGACGTTAACGCCGAGGACGATGAGGAAATTGACGTCGAACGCGTGGAGGAACGCAACACAATATGGAGACCGTGGTAGCGGGAGGACACTTTGTTTTAACAATCAATTTTAATGACGTACATTCCCTATGCACACTCCCTTCAAACTGCGTCCATTATTTATTTTATAGATGCGCGTTTTGATAAAATTATTGTTGAATAGATGTTAGGGATGACGCAAAGGAAAATTTCTTTTTATTCCAGATTATTGTTATTTAATATAACAAGGGTAACACACGTGCACGTGTGTTTCTACCTTATCTCCTTGCAAGTACAAAATGATCTTTCCGACGATGATATTCCGAGACATTCGAGAGTTATTTTCAATAATTTATAAACCGCGCGACATCAACGTACATGCGTACAGAACGTACAAAAGTACAGAAAGTTTATTGTGGATATCACTTGGCATTATTAAGTGCTGGTTGAAAAATATCGCATAGAACTATACTCGTGTACTAATAGAAATTGATGGAGAGATCATCGATATCATAAAATCACGCAATGTTATGCTATATTTATAAGTTAATCTCCTTATTATAATTAATAGTGTTGTGTTGATTCTACGTTATTTTGATAGACTTGGCTTTAAATAGATATAAGTGATAGATATTTTTTTTCTTTATGCGAGATTATAATATACCAGAGAAACGTTTAAAAGAGAATTCTTTCTACACCGTGTTCTTACTTAAGAGAATTATAGAATCCGTCGAAATAATAAGAAAGTATTAGAAACGAGAATACTCTCTACCCTTTTTTCTCTGCAGAATTAGTAAATGATATATCTCATGATAAAAAATAAACGGAACTAGTTTAAATATGATTTAGATCAGAGCTCGGCAAAGTTTACAACTTTCGACCGATTTTCGGAAGCTACGCCTTCTATCTCCCCTTGGATCGCGCGGTGGATCCAGCAACTGACGGTGGCGGCTCGCGACCTCAGGACCGTTGAGATTATAAGGCGCATCTATGTGGTGCCTACTAAAGATACGTTCGGGGAGCGCGTCGATCAGCGCTAACGCCGTCATTCAATCCTTGTACATGTAATAAGCGATAAAAATAAAAAAAATAACGTGTTAGCGTTGACAGCGCGCTCCTTTAACGCACCTCAAAGGCTGAAAAATAAATGTATCGATACAACTATATGTACAATATTTCGTACAAACTTGTACAAATATATACTTGTATAAGTATATATATATTTTTTTTCTTACATTTTTATAATTAGAAGATACTACATAATAGGTTTCCTCGTCACCCATGAGGTACTATTGCCGACGCGTTTTTTTTTTTTAACCACATAGATGCGCTTTATGATCTCAACAGTCCTGAAGTCGCGAGCCGCGACCGTCAGTTGCTGGATCCGCCGCGCGGTAAGGGGAGATAGAAGGCGTAGCTTCCGAAAATCGGCCGAAAGTTGTAAACTTTGCCGAGCTCTGATTTAAATCATGCGGTGTGCATGTATGTGCATGATATATTAGTTCCAAAAACAGCGCAAGATGTCGTCAATAGCCATCAGTGGATCAACTGGTTCTAAAAAGATAACACCAGATGGTACGTGCAGTGAGTTACCACTTCAATTATTCCAAGAAACAATGAAAGATGGCGCCAAAAAGCAATTAGATATTAATTCTAACAAAAAAAACGCGAGATGGCGCTTCCAATCTTTAATCTTTTTACACGCAAATGGTATCTACCCAATGTGTACCAAAGTTTTCAGTTTCAGGTAAAAAAAACTTTGTTTTATTTACCCATTTATTTATTAGTCTTTTTAAATATTAATCTTTATTAAATTTAACATATGGAGAGAAAAAAGTACATTTGTCCTTTTAATAACATCATGTCGGTAAAGTTTATGCCAAATCAATGTTATAATAACTATAAAAATACACTTTAACAAAATATTTACCATATATCATGGTGTAAATACACATTATATAATATAATAAGACACCGAGATAACTATAAATTGTTAAACTACAACAACTTATAAACTAGATATCGAAATGTTTATATTGTATTACTAACAAACAGTCGATAAAATCAATCTTCTTCGTTATCTTTCGGTCTTCGAAGTCTCTTCTGTTGGATACAAAAATTTGTTATTTTTATCCTTGTTAGTATTTTCGTTTATTACGCACTAATGAGATGAGAATAAAAAACCGTCAACTTTAAATTGTTTTTTTTTTCTCTGAAGAAACCTCAAAAAGCTTGGAAGTCGAAATTTTGAACTAGGAATATTCAAGACGAATGATATTGTCGATTTTTAGTCATATATTATATAATCTGATATTAACATTTAACGTATTATAAAATTTTTATTTTATGCTTTACAATTTTCTCGATGTTTTATCACATTTTATATATTCCTAAACGCTGCATTTCTGCAGTTATCATCTGCGCTGATTTAATATGAGACTTACCAACAAGAGGTTATTGAACAGAGCGCAACATTTTTTACATATGTTAAGTGTAATAAAGAATTTTGTATAAACTGGCATAAATTGGCAAATAAAATTAAAAATTTTTCTTGTTTTTGTAAATTTTTAAATATTTCTTTTTGTTTCAATAGCACTGAATGTTTTGATAAAATATGAAAATTCAAAACTGAAGAGAAAGGAATTTTAAAGGCAAAGGTAATAATTATGTGTCTAATAATGCAATTCGCTAATGATAAATGGAAGCGCGTGGGAAGAAGATATTGACAAATTTCAATAAAAAATTGCGATTCAAAATACACTACAGGTATCTACAAATCTCTATATATGAGACTTATATTAGAAGAATATATAAAATTAATATTTGTAGTTGTAAAATATATCTGCGATCTTTGATTGTGTGATCAATTAATTACATATAATTAATTATAGCATAATTATAATTATATGTTTATATTCACAGACACAGACCAGATTGGTCAACTGTATAGATCAATATTTTTTTTGTATAAAATAAGTTGATGAATAATCGGAAAGATTCATAAAACTATGATTGTTTTTAAACGATATTAAAATATAAATACCGATTCAAATCCGACTCGGACATCTCTTTTATACCTATTAAATTCTATTGATATATCCGTTACACACATCGGATATATGTTCCATAATAAATGATCTTTGATACACCTTGAAATACTTGAAATATATGACGTATCGCTGTCCATGTTCCGGCCCGGCGTCTCAAGTCTTCTGTTCTGTTTTTAAAACTCGAATTATAAAAATCTCTAATTGTCGCACCCTATATATATATACACGAGCTATGTAATAAAAAATACTTTATACACTAAAAAATTTGGACATGTTGAATCTTGATTTCTATTTGTGTAATTTCTATTCGTATAAATACATCTAGAAAAATCTAGAAACGACAGACTTGAAGCTGTAAAATGCTTCGTGGGACAACTTGTTACTCTTATTATTGCTAAAGTTACGCATGAAAAGAAAATCAGGTCAACTGTCGGCGAATGTTCAACAATACCAGCTTGACCCAACAATAGGTATGTTTGAACAATATCGTCGCACAAAATAGTTGCATATATCTGATTTGCAAACCACTACGGATCACTGCGGCTGGAAAATAACAAACTCTACAAACTGTCCCGCGTTCGGAGCATTTGCAGGTAGAAAGGATCGAAGTAGTTGTCGCAGATAAAGAATCTTCACGAGCATCGGGGACCCTTTTACTAAGGACACACCGTTTGCCAACAGTCATTCTCGACCATTATTGCGGTCACTAAATCAAAACGCTGGTATTTTTGTCGGCTGCCGACGGTACCCAGCAGAAATGTCGGCGGCACAGTTAAAAAGCTTTGCCACTGAGCCGCCGCTATTGTAACGCCCGCGATTGGAGTGGCTGGATGCCGACTGCGATGATACAAATGACATTAAAGGAAAATGCGGGATGGTTTCCCAAGTTGTCCCTTTGTCGCGCAGGGCATTCCCCGGTGCAGTTTCCCGTGTAAACGACACCGCGAAGGAGATGAATAAAAGAACACGCGTCACAAACTCGTGTGAAACTCGATGATTTTCCTCCTGTATTCCGACGGGAAGAGATCTTATCTCAAAGCGCGAAGATAACGCCGGCGGATTTTCGTAAATAAATTTCCGAGAAATTTCGTCAGGTGCGTTCTCCCGTTTCCTCCGCTGAGATTCGCTTCTCGTCCACGTGGAGGCTAACCGTTGCACCCGCTACTCAATAACACACCACCGTGAGAGAACCCTGTGGCCGTGCGCGAGCTTATTCGCCGGTCGCAGACAGCAACGGAGCAGCGCACGCATGCACGCATGCACGCAGGCACGCATGCACGCAGGCACGCACGCACGCACGCACGCACGCACGCACGCAGGCAGGCACGCACGCACGGACGCAGGGCAGGCAGGCAGGCAGGCACACGGTACCTGAAGCCGTGAGGAAAGCTGCGCGGCCATTACGACTCTTACCGTGGCGGTTCGCGCGGCGCGTCAAAGAGCGCTCATTAAATGCTGGCAATTAACTGCGGGCCGAGTCTCTCGCTTTCCCGTTCCCCCTCAGCACCTCCGGTGCCGCTTCTCCTCGGCTCTCGGTTTCCGTCGGAGCTCGTGTGCCGGTGGCGGTAGTCCGAGTACTCGAGGTGTTCAGGTGTAAACGCGAGCCACAGCCCGAGCGCGGGACCCTCTGCCGCGCTCCGGGAAGCGCTGTTGCGGCGTGATAATCCGCGGAACCGCGGATCATCAGTCGATTCTAACGACTACTCGAGAGAGAGAGAGAGAGAGAGAGAGAAGGGAAGGAAGCATATTATATCGTGCGCGATGCCTGCGATAAAAGCTAGTGGATCAAGGCTAGAGCGCGCGAGCTGAAAAGAAGGCGAATTAGTGCGACGCAAATTCGCCATTTTGCGTTGACGCGGCGGAGAGGAAATTTGCCGAAAATTGCCGAAGCTTTCTAGTCTGTTCCGATTCACAGACGTGTAGTGCTGAGGGTGCTATGAAGGGATACGAGAGGCAAAACGAGTTTAGTCGTGGTTTAACGATAATATGAGAAGAAACTAACGACATTTATATTCAGAGATTTTTTATAATTTAGCCTTTTATCAAAAGCCAGCTTAAATTTAAAATATATATCGTAAAATATCTGTATGAGTAGTCTAATGTTGGTTTAACTTTTCAACTGCTATATAGGTGTATATATATATGTATGTTCGTCCTGAAAGACATATCCATTGATATCATCAAGAATTCCCTTCCAACATTCTTCTCTTTGGCCTTATTCATGTTCGTGCACCTTTCCTCAATGTTCTTTCTTTTTATCTCTTTCGGATCTGGCAGGAAACTTTCCTCCCCTCTATGGTCCAATTAATCTTCCTACTTCACTCTACTTTGTTTGATGTATCCATTGAGAATAATTTTACTGTCACAAATTGAAGGAAAAAAGCGTCTCGAAATGTAAACACAAACCTCAAAAGCCGCGCTTTGACAATTAACCTGGTGATTGCATTTCATTGGTTACGAAAAGTGACCTGAAGATAAACTTCAGACGATTAAATATAAAATCCTACTATGAATACCGCCTGAAGAGTTTAATTTCCTTACTCCAAATTTTCTTAAATACCAAATTTAAGCCATTGCAGAAAAATGTTTCTGAGTAATATAGTCTTGGTTAGCCCGTGGGTAGGCTAAACTAAGGAACGAAGGACTAGCTGAGCCAGGACTGAAAATTATTACGGTTTTACATGTTGTCTCCTTAAGTCGTTAGCCTTTTGTTCCAAGCTTCAGAGCGACGCTTGAAATGACTCGGTCGGTCTTCGGCTAAAAGGCGTCGTCTCTTGCTGCTGCCTGAAGTCATAATTCTTCAGTTTTAAGCGAACTCGTTTTCCGAATTCCAGCTGCTAAAGCAACGTGGAAA